CAGCAATTAGCAATGGAGCGAGAAAGACCGAATAAGAAAAAACATTTAAGGAAAATAGGGCAACTAACTTAGTTAGAAAACTAAAGAATATATTTAGTTATTGAATTTAAACATGAACTTTATTTTAAAGGTTATGACTATCAATTATTAAATGGATATCTTCGATTCTATGGGTATTTCGCAAGTTTGATGCATTGCCACCAATTCCAATCAATTACATTTTCAAAACCACAAGTAATCCTCACTGAAACTCATGTAGAAAACTCAAACAACACTATCAACAAATAAAGAACACAAAAAATGTATCTTGTTAGAACACTAACCTTATTTTTCTTTCTCGTCAGATAATTTTAGAAGTATCTTTTTATAACACTAATTTTACCATCAAAAAAACACTTCCACTAATTTACATAATTATAGGATTCTTTCAACAACATTTTAGAATTTACAAAGCCCTTTATAAATATCTCTTTTTTTAATGATTTTTTTTATAATTTTCAAATCTCTAAGAAGAAAGAACAAGAACAAGTCATCTAGATACATTCTTGTAAAAGTTGTCAATACCTTCACCTAAGTCCCTCCTATCAATTTTGCCTCATTTGCGCTACTAAACAAATAGAAAAAGATGCCCTACCAATCAACTTATAACTCAATTTATCAGCAAATAATTATTTAACTAATTTGATATCTAAACCTTGAATTATAACATAAATCAACCACGTAAATTCAAAACAAAGTTAACAATCATTCTACTTAGCACAAATCAAACTGATGCAATGAATTTATACACATTATAAAAACAAATAAACAATTTAACTAATTCAATATCAAAATAATTTATACTAACATAAATAAAAAGAATAAAATAAAATCAAAGATGAGCAATCAAACAATTATATTTTGAAAAAAAGGTAAAGATCGCACATTTAAACAAAGCCTTACAAAAAAACACTTCGAAAATGGAGTTGTTCCAACACAGATAGAACAAAAGGATGAGAGAAAACCCAAATGAAATTTCTTAAAAAGAAAAAAAGGATACAAGATGAAAAAAAATACAAACTGAGATTTCATAAGGCTTATTTAAAATAATGTTGCATGAGTACAAAAGAAGCCCAAATTCATAAGACTTATTTAAAATTAAAAGAAAGAATTTTTTTTAAAAATGACCCAAACAATAATATTAGGACTTATAAGTTTACATAGACTTTTATATTTAAATGACTCACTAAAAATTTATAACTTTTATCATCTTCTTTTAAAAAAATTAGGCAAATTCTAGGTGTTAATATGGTAACCGTATTTACAATGAAAATATGACCTGATCGTATCTCAATATACAATACATATTATTTTTGTGTTTAAAGGGAAAAAAACCCACACTAAATTCTCGAATTATAATTACAACAAAGAAGTCGTTATATTCCAACACAACATTACGATCGACAAGATATAACCTCCGAAATTTTCCATTTTGTACTATCGCGCGCCTTTATAAACATACTTATACAAATACTATTGCGTATATTTTACTATCAATTTATAATTCTTTGTTTAGTTAAATTAAATAACATGAAATATTAAGCTTTAAGCTTATTTTAAGGCATGTGTTCTTTGGGAGGGTTAGATATTTGTTTGTTTGTTTGTTTTTTGAGAATACCCTTGCATGCAGTCTTTCTTTTACCCTATTCTTGCTCCAGAGTTTAGTTCTACCAATATCTTTCTCTTTCCTCTGAACCGAATTTTCAGTCTCCATGGAAGCAGCTCTTAAGCTTGTTCTTTCATTAAATTAAAGCTGCTTCTGAGGTCAGAATTTTTCGTTAGCCTAAACTATATTATTCAAAATCATAAGCCTTAATATTATTGTTCCACCTCTTTTAGGCCATTTAGTTTTGATGACATTCTTGTAAGTTAATAATAACTTTAAAAGAAATAGTGAATTCCCGAATTTTCCATTGTTTTTTTTTGCAACAAATTGCCTTTACTTTCGACAAATCTAATACAGTCTCGTCATGTAGATTCATAATTATTGGAACAATGAAATTTAAATCATAGATAGTTTCCGAAATAGAGTAATTTAAATGCTTGCCTATGCATGTACAGTTTTTTCAGTTATTTATTGTTAGCTTAGCTAAAGTTTAAAACTAACAACATACACCAAAACATGATATTTTTACAAAAGGCACATTACAATAACTTACTAAGTTCAAATCTTAGCATTCTAATTTGCATAGTAATGAAGATATACTTACATTGTTTAATAGTACACATGGCACAAAATAAACTTACTCGCATTTCTTAATTCATAATAATTTAAATAAATTTAATAGTAATATTATAGTATAACTTTAATAGTAATATTATAGTATAACTTTTTAAATTTAATAGTAAAATTATAGTATAACTTTTGTATACCATATATATTTAAGACTTGTTCTCTACTAACTGTATTTGTAATTTGTTATAAAAAAAAAATTAAAATAGTGGTGGCATACACCCGGAAACTTGCAGCATTATCTTCTTGTGATTTCGACTCATCAAATCTCTAAATTGGTGGTGCAAATATGCTATTAAATCATCAATCATCAATCAATCATTAATTCATAATCATTCAAGATGAAAAATAAATAAATATAGTTGGCTAATAATAATTTAAATATTCATATTCTACGATTTGATTTGGTAGACAAACCAACTAAGATTTACAACTTAATTCATCTAGCCCTTTACTATTTCCTAGCCCTTTTCTTATACTTCTTCAAAACCTCATCCAATTCGTTCTTTTCCTTTTCTATATCCTATTTCAACCGTTGAAGTTGAATAGCACCTTCAGCCGCTGTTTTCTCTACTCGATCTAAAAACCTCACAAATTTAGGAACCACATGAGGTGCTTGTGCAACAGCTTCTTACACACTTTTTGATGCATTTCTCAAAATTGCATAAAGTTCAGCCGTTCTTTTTTCAATCTGCATCTTCAGTGAATGCGCTCCGGCTCTAATGACCTCCAAGATACGGCCATGCACATCACAAAAATCCTCATACTTAGCAATAGCATCATCAAGCTCCTTTGAATCTCACATCCGTATATGATTTTTTGGACAAAAATAAATAAATAAATGCTTGAAAATAATTTCTACGTAAAGATCTCTTTGCAAACAATAATCACCTTCAAATATCAGAATGCACAAAATATCACTTCTAGACTTTCTAAGTCAAACACTACCTTAGGATACCGGTTCCCACTAAAATCTCATACATTTTAGCACCAGGGAATGTCCTAAACAATCCTCTGTAGACCACCATCATCATTAATAGGCCAATGATTCCCTCTATATGCATAAGTAAAGATAGGATTAACTATAACTACCCCTTTTTTCTATATTTCATCCTCAAAGTCTATTATTAAATCCATGATATTACAATGATCAACATCCACTTCAGTATCAACTTTATGCATAAAAAATCATCATAAACTCAAGAACAACACAATTTTAAACCTAGGTAAAACATTTAAAAGTATGGTAACATGCATCACACAAACAATATATAATCGAATTATATATGTGAAAAAAATTCAAATGTTAGCATCCACAAAACATAAAGTGCAACTAACTCAAGCGTAATTAAACCAAAATCGAATAACATTACATCATAATTCCCTTTTTGAACTCATAATTGAACCCCCCAAAAGAAAAGCATTCATTACCACAAAACATAAGAATTTATACCAAATAATTCACAAAATCAAGATCGAAGTTGATTACTAACCTTAATCCGCAATTTGTCAAAGTGATTCACCACAAATTTTGCTTCAATTAGGGCTTCTTGCGAGCTTCACAACAGGGGAGAGAGTTGGAAGTTGAACGATCAAAATTTTTTCCCTTTTTTTTGGCTATAAATGATGTGATTCTTTTGTAAGGAGAGTTTTCTAATTTTACTTACCCTATTGAAAGAACTTTAAACATCTAATTTGATGTCATAAATATTTCTACTCCATATAAGTACATAAGTATAAAGTTAATTACAAGATGTTTTAATTACATATATTCCCAAGGTTAAGTTAATTAAAAACATTTTTTCAAGAAAAAGTCTTGATTCCAAAAAAAAAAACTAAAACTAATTCTAAACATGCTTAATTAAAGTCATATATCAACTCTATTAATGTTTGATAATAGAGAATAACAACTTATGGAATTACTTTGTATAATTTTAATATCGATTTAACGAACAAATGTTCCTAAAACTAAGTGAATATAAAGCAAAACAAGTTTCATAAGAATTTTTGTTAATTTAAAGGACTTGTTATGTTAATTGAGTGACAATCATTTCATAAATGTTAAAATTAAAATCCGACTTATTGAAACTGAAAAATTAGCCAAATCAAATGATATTATACTATTGTTTGATTGTGTAGAGTAAACACTTACCAGTTATATTTTAAATATTAAAATTGATATATATGAATTAAGAATTGTAAAAACTCTTATTCTAATTCTCAGACACTACACTTGAAAAAAGGAAAATGGTGGAAATTTAAAGGTTCAATTTCAACAAATGCATAAGTGTAGAAATTAAAATTTGTAATTTGGAAGTCATAAAGTCTCTATTCTTTCAATTTTTTTTCATTATTGGTATTTAGTGTACTCTTAATTATTATCAAAATGTGGGATTGTTTGATTGACTAAATCCCCCTACTTTTCTTCTTATTCTATGAATTTAGACCATACTTACAATTTTCTTCTCGTAATTCCCTGATTCATGCTCTAAAACCCTTTGATTTCCCTTAGATTTTGTTATTTAGGTATATTTTCAGTGCCCTATTTATACTTTGACATAATGTATCAACATAAAACAAACTAATATATACTCTTAATTTGTTAATTGTGGTACATCTTTTTCATGGTTCATAAATTGTACCCTTATCTTCTACTCTTTCTTTCATCTTTTTTTTTCTACTTTGCTTTTTTTAAAAAAAATCAAAAAAATTTCATTTCTGTATAATAATGGCTAGCACTGGTAGCTCCGCCACTCCTGGAAGCGTATTTGCACCACCAATTGGGAGATTTGATGAGTTAAAATCACAAGAAGATAATGGCGCAAGTTTCCGGGTGTATGCTACCGCTATGTCGAACAAGATGAACAATCACTTGGAATTTCTGGAACAAGGAATTTCAAGGGTGATGAAAAATAAAAAAGAAAAGGAAGAAACTACTAAGAAAAAAAAGCAACAGGTTGTAAGGGATGGCTGTGGTGAATGGCCAGTTATGATTGTTGAATCTAACAGTGATGAAGTTCAGAGCAAATACAATGAAGGAAGTAAAGCTGAAAAGAAAAGGGAGGATACTAAACAAAAAATTGAAGATCTGAAAGATGGTGCAGAGGAAAAGGATGAGCCAACAGAAAAAAAAAAGGAAAATATTAAAGAAAAATTTGTTAGAGGTGCTTTAGAATAGTAGCTTAATTTTTTTAAAAAAAAATTAGGGAAAAAGTATTGTGTAATTATCTAAATAATCAAAATATATATGTCTTATTTTGAAATGATAATGTTAATTTCTATTTACTACAACTTGGATGCCCTAAAGTTTGGTAAAATTTAAAACTGATATACATATATTAATAATTATAAAAACTCATATTTAACTTATTAAATTATACTTATATAATATTAAATTTCTAAAAAACAGATTAATTCAGCTCAACTATACATAAATTAAAAACATTTTACCTTAATTTCCCGATGTGTGTGAAAGTAAGGTCTACCCTTCTTCATCCGTTGAAAATTAGTTATTACACAATACTAGATACAATACCAAATTGTAAATTAGAATCCCTCATTTTTCATAAATGCAATGCTAAATTTACACAATACTAAATTATGTTCTAAATTATAAATTAAAATCATTTATTTTTTACAAATACAATTCTAAATTTACATTAAAACTAAGAAATACGAACACCATATCAACACCCAAAATTTACCATTTTGGACTATCGCGCGCCTTGCGCGCGATGGGACAACTAGTAAAAGGAAAACACGAAGAAAAGCACATAAAGAAAAGTAAAACACGAAAGTAGAAGAATTAGAGAAACTAAAGGAGAAATGACCAAAATGATAAAGGAAAACATGAAAACATAGTGAAAATATCCTAAAACACTAACCTATGAGTGCCATAAATGACACTCATAAAATTCCCCCAAGCTAGACTTTTTCTCGTCTCGAGGAAAACAAAAGCTAAAAACGAATAAGGAGGGTTTATTTAGAAAAGAGAGAGAGAGAAGAAGAATATACACTAAGACTCACTAGCGTAGGAATCATGGTTGTTTTTAGGTAAAACAAGCCCTTTAAACCCCAAAGTTGCCTATGAGGACGAGTGAGGTCTCGTAAGGGTTTCCTAAGAGCTTAACCCACAACTCTTTGAAATAAAATGAGGCGAAATCATTTTATTAAAACAAAAATTCAAACAAATAGCTCTTTACAAGGACTTTCACAAATAGTCAAATGCAAATGCATGAACACTTTCATATAAGGAATGGGTATGCATGCTTCAAGATATTCACGGTTAATTGAAACATAAGGTATGCTAAGTGTAGAGAACTAATGAGGCGCAATCGACTTTCATCCCAACCAATCTAGCCGCGTTCTCCCTATGGTTTCAAATCTTCCCTTAGTGAGCGTCCCTATGGTTCCTCGAAGGAACCGGTAAAAGAATAGAATTTTAGGGTTTCCAAACATATTGACCTTGCATCCCATTTTCTTAGGCTTTAACTAATAATGCCCTCCCTCGGTATATGACTCAACCACTACGCCGAAAGGACTTTCCCAAAGGTAGTAACGTAAGGAAAACAAGTTAGGGGTAGGCTAAAAATTTTAAAATTTGGTGGTTTCCCTAAAAGTAAAGCAAAGAACGAGCTCTTTCTTAGAATCACAATCTATTTGTCACCAAACAAAAACAAACTAACACCCCCAAGCTTATTCAAAGATATATCCACAAGTATATGTACAAAAAGCGTAAATGCTTCTCCCCCGAGCTAAAAGGAAGCATTGTCCTCAATGCTTGAAACGGGAAGAGAAATTACATCAAAATAGTTTTTGGATTTTCTCATTTTCACTTTTTTGTTTTCTTTTAGTTTTTTTTATAACAAAACAAATGTCCGTGCCTCTTAAACGTAGGACGACTTTAAAAAATTTGCAATTGCATTGTCCTTGCCTTTTGTTTTACTTTGGACGTATTTTACTTATTCATTTGCCATTATTCAAACATATAGAACAACATAAAATTGCTTTCAAGAGAACCAAATACCCTAAATTCTTCACCACAAACTCCAACAATAATGATCAAGTCCTTCACAAAGACCAATAATGGAAACGAAAATGAAACAAAAGGCTCATAATCTAAAGATGTGACTTGAAAAGAAAGCAAAAGGCTCAAATTGTTAGCAAGATGGAAAATGTATACACAATGAACTAAAAAGAAATGAAAAATCCTAGTAATGAAAAATTACCACCCCGAAAAGATGCCTTTGTCCTCCCTAGTTGGTTCGTTTTTGAGTTTAAGAATTATGAGTCGAGATTCTAGATTGGGTCCACAATAGTCAAGGATCCATGCTTCTCATGCAAATATATAAGTTGAAGGCTTGAAAAATAATGAACCTCACATGGATGTGGCAAAAACTCACTAAGGGCGTCAAATCAACCAAAGGAAGCAACTCCGTCTTACCACAAACCCAACGGAATCCGGCTTCAAGGCCCCAAAAGGTCTAAACCACTACCTTAGCATACCCTATCCTAGGGTCAACGTAAATATTGTCAAAACATGCACACCAATTAAACATAGGAAAGCATACATGCAAAGGCAAAATACCGAGATGTAAAATGTCCAAAGAAAAGAGCTAAACATGCAAAAAGAAAAAGAATAGCCTCAAAAATATTTTATTTGTAATTAAAAGAAGGAAAAGAGCTAAAAATAAAAAGATAGAGTGAAAAGCACAAGAATGCAAGCAAAGACAAGTAAACCACAATCGTCAAACAAGTGGTCATTCGACAACAACGCCAATGACCCCAAACACGCTAGCTGTTACAAAGAAAACATCCTCGAACCATTCAACCCATCCGAAAGCTTATCCTAAACTAAGCAACCAAGAATGAAAGAGAAGAGATATAGAAAGATCTCACTGGGCGCCAAAGCTATGCTACGTAGTCAAGGTGTAAGAGCACCTTACGAATCGTTGAAATCCAAAGCTTAAGCAATAGAGCACGGTGAGAAATAAAGAATTACATACAAAGAAAATTGTTTGTAACTTCCAAAAAAAATCAAACAAAAGAAAAGGAAGAAATTAAAATAATGAAAATAAAGAAAAAGCAAATAGCAACATGAGTAATATCTAATGAGACATCAGATCGAAACTGTAACAAGAAGCAAGATATCAGATAATCATCATAACAGAGATACAAAGAAAGGCATTAGACAGCGATCATCAAATCAAACAACAAATCCAAAAAGTCGAGCGGAGAAATCAATAGAAGCACAACGTCATCATAAAACCAAAGGACTTAAGGACCGACACCAGAAGCAGATGAGACCAGGAATGCACTACAAAAGCAAGGGGAAAAATAAACGAAGCACAACAACAAACGACATATAATACCCCCAAGCTTAAAATGGGCCACCCTCAAAAGAGAAACATCATATAAAGCACAAAAGAAGGGGAGGCCATGGTAGTATCATTTCACACTATGGTAAGGGGTAGAATGAGAACTCCCCTCACTGGTCTCCATCAAATGACTAGAGCTTGCCATCTTGCTAACCTCCATGGGAGCCTTACCCCTCAACCGAATTTCTCTCCTAATTCTATCAAGCTCAAAATAATGATACCAATCATCTATGGTCGGCTCACCCGACCTACCCCAACTACCTAAAGTCTCGGGGTCTGGAAAAGGTGAAGGATTAGCCGGATCATACGTATAATCACAACCACCAGGTCGCCTATAGTCGTAAGTGCCCGGGGTAGTGCCTATGATAAAACTAGGGTGAATATGGGGCCCTCCTAATAAGGGTAACAAAGTCTAGGACCCACAGGAGGATCAAAAGGCTCCTATTGACGCACAGGTCCTTGTTGGACTAGGAGGTACGATAGATGACTTAAGGTTCTATCTCGCCCCTCCAAACATGTAAATCATATAATCGATACGTATGGTAATCATAACTAAAGGAAGGGGGTTGCAAAGAAGACATGGAGTACAACATGTTAGAAATAGAATCAAGCTTGGCATGAATTGTTGACATATGAAAAGTAGAAGTAGTGGGAGAAGGGGAGAGAGAAGGTGTACCTCCCGGTTTAACCGGGCGATGAGCACGCATTGGTTGAACGACCTCTTGTACAGTTTGTCCTTCGTCGGATAGAGGGATGAACATCTCGCACCGGGGGCCTCCAGGACAAAGAATCTCTATCCTTGGGTTGAGTAGTTGCCTCCTTGCAAGGGATGAGGAACCATTCCTTAAACCGAGAAACCTTCCAAATGAAAACATCGTCCTTCCTTGTTCGATCGAGAAATTTTTTTATTCACTAGGGCGGAGATGTTTAGGAAATGAGAGGGAGACTTTTCCCGAGGATCAATGATTGGGGGAAGCTCATCTAACATAGTCTTGTAATCATCATTGATGCAAAGAGCTAGGATAGAAATCATCCCACCTTAATAGATGCACCCCAATAAGCAAACTTCATTTTGGTCGGCGATCCACAACCAACAAAGCTCCTCACGGGAGATAGCTCCCAAAGATTCCTTCGAGAATAGAGTGTATGTGAGGATTTGGTTGAAATACCGCATAGCCGGATGAATCATGGAAGCAGACATTGAGGTTTGAGGGTCATACTTTCCTTCCTTCGAGATACTCCTCCACCAACATTGCTCATCTTATCCATGCTCACTTGCCATTCTACTATGAGCCGGATAGATACAATGATCCGGATCCTCGGCCTAAGGAAACTTGAAATATGAACATAGTTAAGCATCCGTCAATGAGTGATCATTGTTGAAGAGTTGGAAAGTCAAAATCTTTGAGTAATTTTCACCCGGTTCATGGACAACTTCGAGAGAAGAAAGGAATTCATAAGTCACCCTAGCATAAGTAGGGGCATTCAAATACAAGAACTCTAAAAGATCAAGGCCCTTCGCAAGAAGGCAAACATCCTCATCAATCCCTAGAAACATTGTTGCCGTTTGATCGTAGAGTCTCGTTGGTCTAAGCTTGCTCTTGGATAGACGTTTGAAGCAATCCCTATGAGATTCTTTTGAAAATTTAATGCCATAAGTTTCTTCAACCTCGAGTGGAGGCGGAACAATATACCTAGGCTTGCTTGAACTTGCTCTAGCTCGCTTCTTATGACGAAGTGTGGCCATCTACAAAGTATAAAGACCTATCATAAGTAGTTGTTCAACAACAAGCACAAAATG